CCCCCCCCCCCCCCGCACCCACACCATCTGCATCTACAAATCTACAACCACACCCACGTCACGACCCCCAACACCGCTTGACCTGACTTCGGGAGCAGACACAAGCCAAAGAGTTATGTGCGCACCATCCCCTGCCACTCCAGAATATACTTACATTCGTCGTTCACATCAGGCTGGCACATCTTGCCCGCTTCAAATGCATGTGCAGCTAGCTTGCCCCGCTCTGAATTCTCGCAAACCTGGCACAAAGGCAACTTTCGGGCCTGAGCATCAGCGGCGGCCACGAGCCTGCTACGTGAAAAGCTGTGTGCCGACACAAACCGAGCAGCTGGCCTGGCCAGGTATCGCGCTCGATCCCGGATGCCCGCCTGCGATTCGGTGCATCGTTCCGGCAACTGGCTCACTTCACCCCCTGGCCATGGGGGGCCTGCGGCTCCGCCACGCTGCTGGACTCTGTTATGGACGCTTCAGGCCCGGGGTGCTTCTCCTCCACTTCCTGCAACAGCGAATCTCGGGAAGCTGAGCGCTTGCGTGCAGTCTCAGCAGTCGCCTGTTGAAAAACAGAATCCTCCTGTTCCATCATTGCCTCCAGCACACCCAATGCCAGCCCTCCACTCCAGCTGCGAGGATGTTGGCTGTGCAGCCAAGAAGCAGCGATGTCTTCAACTGGCCGCTTTGCCCTGAGCAGATTCACCACGGCACGACTGCCCGGGAAAGATACAGACAACATCGGACACTGGCTCGGACCACCCAGGTTCAAAGCTTTACCTGCCTTCCGTTGAGGTGCTGCCTTCGAAGTTTGCCAAGCATGGCTTCAATTTGGATGCCAGGCCAAAGGCATGAAACAGACGTGAAGCTGACGACATGCGCACCCCCCACGACTGGCTGGACCCACAATCACCCCATCGACGAACGCAAGATTCCGGAAAAAGCAACCAGCTTGCAGGTTCCCATGACATCAAGTTTACCTTGTGCGAGGGCACCTTCGGGACAGAGACGCACCCAATCTCGCACGACGAAAGGCCCGAAGAGACGCAAAGGAAAGAGCCCAAATTGGCTTCTGCAGAGAGTTGCAACACGTCTTGATCGAGTCCTCGCACCTTTAACCTTAGCATCCTTTAGCCCAGGCCTTAGGTTCGGGATCGGCTCTGCCGAATAACTTCGCCCCGAAGCGAAGTTCACACAATGTTCCACAACACGGGTGCCAATCATGTTTCATCTCCGCCTCAATGGCAAGATGCCAGGTGTACGTGGACAAACCTTCGACGAAAGAGTCCTGAGGCCTTTCGCTGCCTTCCCCTCTGCTAGGAATCACTTCCGCCAGACAACTACGCCCCCAGACAATAAATCTCGTCTATTTCTTGCATTTTGCCGGGCGCAGGGAAATCCTCGACCTTCCCAACGTAGTGTGAGGTGGTCATTGAACAAACCATTCGAGGCCCCGGCATCATCTCCTGCAATTTGCATGACATGTCAGTACTCTGCTGTCTAAGACAAGCCATTGCCAATAAACGCGACTGGCTCAGTCTCGACCAAAGGCTTGAGTAAATGGGAAGATGGCTAGAGGACTGAACCTTGCAGATGCAGCGGACAGAATCAACTTCCGAGCGCTCCATCAACTTGTGAACGTCCATGCCCGCGAGGAGGCTGAGCAAGTCCTGGATCCAGCAGCAGTCAAAATCCTAGTTGTCCAGGGGAATTGAAGGCTAAACTTGGGGATATACAGGGTGCGTAATACCCTGAAAGGTTACATGTTAACTACTCTGTTACCTACAAATCCTCTGCACACCTTTTGTCTCATAAATTTCGTGCAGATCGACATCAGGCTCGGTTGTTTGCTCACGGATACACCCCCCTCCTCCGAGCGGTTCGAGCCCATCTTTTTGATGAGGATGGACTTTCTTCTCACTCGAGTCACTTCACACACCTGGCAATCTTGCCCTACCCACACAACATGTGCGAGAGATAACTGGTTCAGCCTCGTCCAAGTTTCCGCATCCAAAGCTCTTTGCCAGCATGGCCTGGCAGGGGACATTTTCGGTGGAGTACATTGCACAAAGCTCCCCCTCTACCAGCCTCGTCCTCGGGCAACATGGTAGGACAGTCTGGTGGCGGGTAGCGCCTAACATATGCGACCTGCAAGCGGGGAACTTACCGGGATTCACGGCCGCATGTGCACGTCTGCCATACTCCAGACTCCAGGTACGGCGCATAGTGTGCCATAAGAACTGCACCCATCCTGGTTTTCAGTGTAACCGAAGACCGCAATGTGCTAAGAGTGCACGCCAATTGAGGCACCCACAGCCCACAGGCAAGCATCGAGACTCGATACTCGTTCAGGCCTGCGGCGCTGCGGAATCGAGAGCTCATGTGGCACCTTGCCAACAGCTGCTGTGCTTGCCTGGAGGTCGTAAGGAGATGGCCTGCCATCCACTCAGTTGCACAAAAGTGGTGCTGCCGAGAAATGGTGCGAACAGGCGGCGGCCATTCCAGCAACCGACAGCGGTGTACTGACGATGATCAGGGCCTCAGCTATATACATCAAGCTGTACAGGTGCAATTGCGCTCTGCTTGAAGCAAAGCCGGGAGACCAGACTGTTGAAAAGATGCCCTGAACAGTACCGAAGCGACTGGGCGGCGAGTACCTGCACAGCCGCAAGTGAATGTGGCATGCCCCCGCTGCTGTGCCTCTACAAGCATCTGTCCAAGGAGCAGAAGTGTGTAGCGCCAGACGTAGGTTGAAAAGCAGCTTGTAAACAAAACTGCAGATGACCTGGCTAGAGATGGACGGAGGGGTGACCAGACCAACAAGAAGACCATGACTAGAAGAGTTCTGCGGGCCGGACGTACACAGGGCTTGAGCTGGCCAGGATGCGATGCCCACGGTGACCAAGGCCACCAACGCGGAGGCTGCGAGAAGAACGGTGAAGGCCTCCAGGGACCCGAAGGGCATAGCACTCTCTGAACGAGGGAGGACAGACGTTTCGCCTCTAGGCCAAAGCCGTCCGCAAGCATACCAGCCAGGGGAGCCAGGAGAAGACCGGCCTCACGTGCCGACTTCTCCAACACACAAGGGAGCGGCCGCCAAAGACCGCACAAGTCTGGGCCACCAACGACTGCACTGCCCACAACGTTGATCTTCACCAGCCTCTGCTGTGACATGCTGACCGTACCACGTTGCACGGAGCAAAATTCGAGCAACTTCTGTCGTCAGGACAAGTGGCATCTTGCCATCAGACTCATGGCCAAATAGCAGCTCTGCATAGGGAGCCTGCGCCCGCAACCGCAGATGTGCAGTGTGTGGAGCTACCCTCTGCATGCCAAGTAACTGCCAGAGAGGAGTAAAGCGCGGGCAGCCTTGCAATCGAATAAACAGCAAAACCCGAAAGGATTGAAAAGAGCTCTCTTCTGAACCAAGTCTCGCCGAGGTGCACGAGCGCTGAAGCTAAGGCAAGACCAGAAACAAGATGATCTGTGAGATGAACTCGAACAATCCCGACTGCTCGCGAGATCATCTCGGGCCTCGGTCGCTGCACCAACTGCCGCCTCTGCGATCAAATGCAGCAGCATTTGCTGGGGGCTCTGACACTCCGGTGCCACCAGGCTTCCTGAGACGCTCGCAAGATGTCTTCTCTGAAGCCCGGGGCTTGTAGGCAAGGCCATCTGTAAAGCCAGGCAGAAGATTTACTGTAGTATGGCACACTCCGGCATGTTTCCATGACTTGAACATGTGTGGCATAGGTCATAGGTAGGTTTCTGTTTCATGCTGCAGCCAAGCTTCGGCAGCGGGACTCCAAGCACATGTTTTGCCTGCTCGAGAAACCTGATCGGATAACGGCACGAATTCGGCAGTTGCTCTCAGCGGCAGTCAAAATCAGCCAACCCACCAAGCAGCTCGATCTGCGTGGGGAGCACGACAGAGCAAACACCCGCAGCTGCAAAAACTGCGGCCGCCCAAGCGAGCATCACGAAGTGCAGGCGGAGCTCTAACCATTTCATGCCCTCAGCTGAGATACGAGCTAGAAGAGCGCAACAGCAGACTACATTAGCTGCTGTAGGAAAGGCAGATCAAGATGGGGCTGGGGAATTCAAGCTCTCAATCCATTCAAGCTTCGGCTTGCAGGAGAAGCGGCAGTGCTGCAGATGCTTGATACCTTAGATTAGATGTTCAGCTACGCTTCGACTCGTTCTTTTGCGATAGGCTTGCGCATGTGGTAAGTGCCAGTGCCCGAACCATAAGCCAAGGCGGTGACGTCGAGCTGATAAGGGCAATAACCAGAGTCTGCCGATGTGGGATGTGCCAGACGAAACCAACGAGGGAGAAGCCTGACGATCCGTGGGCTATAGTAATTAAGTCATGCCATCCGGCGCATCATGAGGCAGCGTGAGCACGCCAGGCCACTGAAAAGCAAAGAACCGAAGTCACAGAGCAAAACCTCAGAGAGTTTGCGCAGGCCACGAGATGTCACGAGCATGCAAGACGAAAGCTGCTGCACAGACTTGAGCAGCACGTGTCCCCCTCGTAGAGCCGAGGCGAGGCACGCCCGGCGCCAATAAATGACACGAAATATCATCCTTGATTCTGGAGCAGAGTCACAGCATGAACATGCCAGATTTCAAGCTGTTTATGCACAAGTCTGCATGCAGGCCGATCGCGTGTCCGGATGCAGCACCGAAGACGGATCCACAGGCCAGAAGAAGCCTTGGCCCAGTTTGGCCCATATTCCCGGGAAAGGGTAGCCGCCGAAGCCCCAAGTCCCGTTCTTAGATTCTTGCCGGACTGGGCCCATCTAAACCCGAGTGTCCAAGCAGCCCCACTGCGCAGCTCAGCGCTCCCGTCGTTCCCGTCTTCTTCGCCTGAAACGGCAGTCACAGTGCCAATTCTCGCGGAAAATATGTAACTCGTCAGCCTCGCGCCCAAAAGCTTTAGCTGAGTGGCGCCCCAGAGATCATACATGAGACCGATGGGTGCCGAAAATCCGTAGGCGATCGATTGGCAGACCTGCGCCAGGACTGGGCGGGAGTGCAACGCAACCGTCTGCCAGACTGAGAGCTGCACCCCGAAGACAGATGTCAGAACCTCAGGTGTGTAGAATTAGAAGTGAGCGAGATCTTTGGCATACATAATATACATACTTCCCCAGACGGTGAGTCGTAGAATTATGCACTATTCGGCTCCCGGGTCACGTCATCGCTCCTGGGTGTGGTCTCGAACTCACCCTAATCTACGGGTTTTGGAACTTTCCAAAGCTGGTTATCGTGCTCCCACCATAATGTTTAGCATCGCCACTGGCGCCACTGTCCCGAGCATTCATTCCACCTCGCAAGAGCTCGCTCTTAGAGTGCCGCGTGTTTTTTTGCGTAGGGCTGCTTCTTGGTAGAGCACCAGTGGGTGTTCGTCCTTTCACTCATGGAATAATTTGATGCCGAGGTGCAGAAATCTGATCTGCACCTATCAAGTGGCATGGAAAGAAGCAGAACACATCCGTGTCCTAGCTAACAACACGGGACATGCAGCCAAAGCCAAGCCAAAGCACACCCGTAGGCGAAGTTCTCGCAAACGGAGTGAAAGACTCCAACTTCTGCCAGAGTCTCCCTCAGCACGCTTCAATCTTTACTTTGTGCACCGAATCGACCGTGGACTTCGTGCTCGCGAGCTGCACGAAGATGGACTGGCTAGACAAAGTTCCAGACGCCAAGCTGCAGCCTCGGGAGAAGATGCAACGGGAATTCGGCACAATGTACACGTGCACTCCTAATTGTTTCGCACCTGTTGAATCTGAACTGCAAGACACCCGAGTCATAGGGCTCCCGCATGCCCACAACCTTCGCTGCACTCAGATACAATACCACAGCAAGCTTCAAGCTGGCGGTCTCTGGTGCTGCCCGGGAACACCAAGAACCGAATCCAGGGCATCTGCGCAGAAGACTCTGCCGTGGTGAGGGTTTCGTCGTACTCCTTGAGCTGTTCAAGAGCTCAGGTGCCGGGAGGCGCGTGAGCCTACACAGCCCTATAATGATGCAATGCGATCCTGAACCGGGTCGAATTGGAAGATTTCCTTTTCCTGGGAGTCTCACATTTGTGGGCAACTTCGCGTACGTATCTCGTGGCCTGATGGATGAGATGCTTCATTGACTTGTCAGCATCAGGTTGGAAGCCATCGTCAACCTGACGAGAGTGGGCAGCGTAGAGAACCCTTCGCAGCTAAGACGACTTCTCAACGTCGATGCTGATCGCCTCCGGCATGTCCTCCTCGACCTGGCCAACAGGGTTAGAACGGTTAGAAGCTCTGAGGTGCTTGAAAGCGCCCTTCACAAACGGGCATCGCGGCACCCAAACAAAGGATTCCAGCGTCGTTTCAATGGGCGGCGACCCTACCTCCAGCCGACTCCCACGGCACGTGAATTACTTGTAGCAGTGACTTCGTCCAGGTCTGTTCCAAACCGGGCCATGCTCGTGATAATGACCTACCCTACCAACGAACCGCAAACGGTAAGGGCAAGACAAGATCCTCCGCCGTGCCATCGCCTGAGACCCCTTACAGCTTCCGAGTTCATTGCTACTCTACCACACTCTGCGCCTCCAATCCTATCTTGCTGTCAAGGCGCTAGCCAGGGGCTGGGCCGCAGCAGTGGATGTCTTGGCATCGACCTACATACATGTCAAGCTTGTCCAGCATTGCGCTTAGTTGGAAAGCATATCGCTCCTTCTGGTATGCTGGATCAGCACAACTTGGACTGGATTGGCCTCTTGAGCAGGTGAACTGGTCAGCTATGTATATCTCTTCGCGAACTTGGCCACATGTCAGCGGAGCTGGTAGCAGCCGAGCCACAGCCCCCCATTGCGGCCGGGCATTCGGGGGGCCTGAACAAGCCTACTTTCCGCGACTTCTTCGAAGCTTGCGACGGGCACAGTTGAGTCTGGTCTTGCCCACTCCACGTGCAGGCAGTGCAGGCCTTTGCTCGTGCTCCTTTCACCGCATACGCTGAAAAACACGGCACGGCCCACACATTGTCGCAGTCGTCCGCACTTTTTGCCGGCGGTGGCATGCGGCCAAGTTCGCCATGCGGAAGGACTTGACTGGGGCTAAGCACTTGACTTCGTATGGTCGATATCGAGGAGCTTGGAAAGTTGGAAGTTGGGTTGGAGAGATTTTATCGTTTGGGCCTTGCTGGGTTTGAGTAAACACCCCCCAGGCCCTTCGCGATCGGAAACGTTCCCAAGCAGCTCACCGCGTCAGTAGAGCTTTGGCGCGACGCCGTATGTCCTGGGTGGCAGGCATAGCCAGAGAAGCATACGCCTGCAACGACAAGCTCTAGTTACAAGGTCTAAACATGACGGACATCTGAGATGCTAAGAATCTTCTGGGTTCGGAGCCATCGCTCGTCTCTGCGTCAGCCCTCGAATTTCGCTTGGGGCCTCCACTACCTAATGCATTTTGGCCCTAAGGCTCTCCAATGATGCTCTCCTCTTCTTTAAGCGTTCCGAGTCGCCGGAGCACGAATGCTCCATTCTGCATTTTTTTCTGCGTTGTGGGATCCGTGCTTGCCACCTCCATCCTCCCAAGTAGGCTTCGCCCTCCCCGCGCTGTCCATGCATAAAATCACGGGCCCACGCATACGGAAATCATATTTGCTTCCACCATGTTTTGCTTTTTTTCCGGCCTGCCTCCCCTCACAGATTCCGGGCTCAAGATAAAGCGTCCCTGAATCTGAAGCGCAACCTGGATTCCATCTATGCAGCTCTCTATTGCACATGCTCACTTCGTCACACCTGAAACAATGACAAGAAACAGCCAAGTGTCCGCCCTGATACACTCGTCCTGCCACAGCCAACACCAAATTCTGCACTTCGACGTTGTATAGCCCCCGCTACTGCTACTGCTTTCCATGCCCTGCTGAGAGTTCAAGCAGTTCGTGGGATGAACCGTCAATTTCAACACTGCTGTGAATGGCCATGGGATGTGGGAGCCTGTCTTGAACAGCTGTTGGGCAGCCCCTCATCTACGGATTCTGGCCAATTGGTCTGGCTATGACAGGATCAGAAACGGCAGCAGTGTAGCCGCGAAGCCGCATATGCTTCCCTACACTGCTACACGTGAGCGCCTAAAGGAAGAAAAAGGGTGCAAGCGTTCTGTGAACACATGTGGGAGTTATCAGGCCAGGAAGGGGACTTTGCATCTTGTCTCGCACATACACGACGTGGGTTGGCTGACTGTGTAACCCTGAACCCTGTTCAGGGGAATGCTACGTAGGCCCTAGGCCACCCCACGTGTGTTGAGCTGATTTTGCCCTCGGGTATATTGGATACTAGATCTTGCAACTCTGCAAGCTACCGCGGAATAGAGCCATTCCTTCCTCTCGAACTTCCGATACAACCAGCCTCGGTGATGCCTTTTAAGCTTCTGTTCAACGCCTGAACCCTTGCTCAAAGAGTGAGGCCTGCACAACGGCGATTCCCGGTTGCAGGTGGGGCCCTCCACCTGACTATCCGCTTGAGCCATCGTCGTAGCCACGGTTCAGAGATGCTGAGATGGACACTAACTTCCTCGTCAGACCCCTTGACCCACGACGTACCTTTGCAAAACCACCTCCAACGTCCAAGCACAAGTTGCTCCATTGAAAGTGACAAGCCCGGGTGCCCAGAAGCACTCCCAACGGCCGGCTTCAGCAGGATACAACACTCCACTTCGGGAGAGATCCAGCAAGCGAAAACCCTAATCTACAATCTACAAACATCGCCGAGCACCGCTGCTCGGAGGAAAACAACATGCAGTATAAGCAGTGCAACATGCAGCCACCAGCATCACAGCCGGCTCTCCTCCGTTAACAGGCAAACAGCTCCTGTCTGAAGGGAGGCACGTTTTTCAAGCGGGAGCAGGCTGCATTGACTGCGAAGCTCCAAGAGCGAGCTCGGTATAGAGATCGGGGCCACTGACAACCTTCTTCATCTTGCCCTTTGCACTTGCATCCACCAGAAGCTGTTTCCAGGCTTGGTGAGTTTCTTCCTCAGTTTCGGCATGCCATACTGGGGACACCTTCAACTAAGAGTCGAAAAGCAGCCAGTTTGCGCATTCTCAGCCGAGCGACCACCACCTGTTTAGCAAACTCTGCACTCTGGGGTTTTCCGGCAAAGCCGAACTTGTTTTCGTTCTTGCCCTCTGCCGTTTTGTACCTCAGTGACTTAGTGTACAGCACGGCGACAGGCGACAGGCATGGAAAACTTGAAAGCTGCTGTCCACAGGAGTGCAAAGCCGCCACTTGCTTGCAGATTTTGCAGTTCAGCTGCATCCTCAGCCAATCCGTTAGGCACCGCAACGCTCCGGGCCAATGAGCCTCGACATCGTTCAAGTCATGCACTATCCTGAGCTGTTGGCTTGATGATTGCAGCTCTCTGAACCGGCCACTCATCTTCCCCGAACATCGCAGCTGGAAAAGGAAAGCTCTTTCCACAGCACAGACATGGGATCGGTGCTTTATCGTCATCCAGGGCAATGGCCAAGACTTTCCAATCTGTCTCATCATCGTCAATCATGGCAAGGATTCCCAGGATCCTGTTCTACAGGGGGCGCTTCGACTTAGGAGGGAGATTCGCGACAGGGCTTCACATGCAACCAAGGGTCTTCACGCGAACGATAGATCCAACCGGTCGCTGCCGGGCTCCCAGCTCGATGACATCGATCGGGTCCTGGATCCGGCATAGAAGCACACGCACACACTCACGAAAACATGTGTGTGTATACATATATATATATATACATATATACACACACACATATCCATCTACCTGTCTGTCTGTCTATCTATCTATCTATCTGTCTATCTGTCTATCTATCTACCTATCTATCTGCATATCTATGTATCTATGTATCCATCTATCCAGCCATCTATCCGCATGTGTATTTTTGGCTCCCACGTGGCACAGTCCGAAGACTCCGCATAGCAGGTCTGTTGTGTCTCGGAAAGCTGAGAACTCACGAAAGTAAGGCTCAGCATGTGTATGTATATATATATATACATATGCGTGTGTGTGTGTATGTGTATGTAGATACACAGGGATATGTTTTTCTATATATATACATATATCTTCATGATATGCGTGTGTGCATTTATATACATAAGCCTAAACATATTTTTGGCTCCCACGTTGCCATACATCTGTGTATATATATATAGATGTATTTATTTATGCATTTATTTATTTGTATATATATATATACATATATGTATATATGTAGACTTGTACATAAGCGTGTGCATGTGTGTATGTGCGTGTGTATATGTATATATATATATACATATATATATATACATACATACATACATACATACATACATACATACATACATACATATATGTATATATAGTGTGTGTGTATGCATGTATGCACGTATATACACATGCATATACACATACAAACCACAAATACATGAACAATACCTACACATATACGTTTTACACCTACAGATATATTATACAAATGCATATCCCTCGAGAGTAGTGTGTATGTAAGTGCGTATGTATGCATATATTCTTATACATTTTCATATACACATGCATACGATATTGCATATACACATACATGGGTATGTGTATACATACATATATATATGCATGTATATACCCGTTTGCATACGAATAGACTTGTATGTACGTGTATGCACCTATATGTACGTTTATCTACATCAAAGACAAGCTTGATTCACATACACATATGCATGCATATATATATATGTATATGTACACGTACATACATACAATACATACATACATACACACACAGACACGCACACATATATACATATATATATGTAGAAACACATACATATGTCTGTCTGTCTGTCTGCCTGGCTGTCTGGCTGTCTATTTACTTGTCAGTCTGCATATATGGATGTATGTAAGTCTGTGTCTGTTTGCATGCATGCATGTATGTATGTATATAAGTGTGTGTATGTGTGTGCTTTCACATAAGCTTGTAGACAAATTATATTTTTTTGCACGCATTCAGGTATGTACCTGCATATGTATGCAGATACATGCACGTGTGTGTACATGAGACCCTGCATGTGTTTACGTATGTGTGTGTGCATACGCGTCGGCAAGTCTGTGATAATATGTATGGGTGTAGGTATATGTATAGTATGCATACGCCTACGCAGTCACGCAGATATAGAAAACTGTTTATGTATGTATATATATATATGTGTGTGTGTGTGTGTGTGCGTGTATACAAATATATATATATATATACATATATACATATATATATATATACGTACATACATACATACATACATACATACATACATGCATATATCATATGTATATATATATATATTTTACACGTTTTTGCGTGTGTGCGGGTGTGCATGCGTGTGTGCGTGTGTCTGTGTGTGCAGGTGTGTGTGTGTGTGTGGCTGTCTGTCTGTCTGTCTCTGTCTCTGTCTCTGTCTCTGCCTCTGCCTCTGCCTCTGCCTCTGCCTCTGCCTCTGCCTCTGCCTCTGCCTCTGCCTCTGCCTCTGCCTCTGCCCCTGCCCCTGGCCCTGGCCCTGGCCCTGTCCCTGTCTCTGTCCCTGTCCC